AAAAGCAGCAGCTCTCCGCAAGATGCCGTAACCTGTTCACTAAGGCTGCTCTCTCCCTGTTCTCCCAAAATCTTTCTGTGGAGATCAGTGCAGATGGTTAAGAAAATGTTGAGGGTCTTTTATATCCTCTCCAACCCCCCCCCCCCCAAAAAAAAAAAAAAAAAAAAAAAAGAAATAAAGCAGACTCACTGTATGCAGTTTTATAGGATCTTCAGAAAGGTATAAGCAGTTTGTAGAATGACAACAAAATGATGGTCATTCAATGAATTATCATTCATGATGTCAGCAGCTGACCAAAGGTAGTGTTTGATCACCTCAGATAGGGATTACGTGTCCTTGGCTGACTGTGTCTCTTTATTGTTAGGAGGAAAATCAAAATAAAAGAAAAAGGAGTAACATGCTGCACTTTTTTAAAATTTTCTTACTCATCTCCTTTCTATCAGTAATATTTCTATCTGTATGAAGTGCTGTAATTTTTCCGCCTCTTTATTTTTCCAATTACATGTACCTTTTAATATTCATTTCTCCTTACACTTTTATCAATTTAACATGCTGCATTTTCTTTATTTTCAACGTATTTAAATTACGGTCATTTACTTTACTTACTCATCTAGTTTTCATCACTGATATCAATTATATTTGTGTGACATGAATGTTTTTACCTGTTATCATACTTTAATTATATCAAGCTCTCATATACCTTGTGCGAATATGATGCGCAGCTTTTTTCAAACTTTCCCCTGGTTTTTTTAAATTTACTCTCCTGACTCATCCACTTTCTATTACTAATACTATACAATAAATGGTTTGAACCCGAGTGTAACTTGTAATAGTATAGTTTGATCCTCCGGGTGAGTGTAGTCCTGAGAAGGACTGTTGTTGGTAATGGTGACTGACGTTTCGACAACCTGAGCGGAAGTCATCATCCGAGTCAAGTGAAAGGTTGCTGTCAGTTGAACGTACTAAGTCCGGTTTGTATAAACTGATTGGTCAGTTTTTCTGTGATGCTATTGGCTGTAAGACTCAAGTGGCAAAGGTCAGTCGTGATTGGTCGGTTTTGATCCGTTGGTGAAGTCAGGTCGTTCTGTTTGGTTCGTTTGTAGTGTTAATGTCGTGAATGAGTCGTTTGTATGGTGCCAGTAGTGATTGACACCTGTTGAGGGGATTCTGTTCCAGGTTAATAAACTAGCTTTCCAGGGTCAGTCGTTAAAAGTAGTTGGTGCTGTAGGTTAGTCCCAGTCAATAGTGTGGTTCGTAACTCGGTGATGTTCAGCAATGTGATTGTTGACATAGCCTTTCCTCGTCACTCGTTTGTGTTCAGTCAGTCTAGTTGTGAGGTTTTTGCCAGTCTCACCGAGGTAGGAGGGTTGGCAGTCGGCGCAAATGATCTTATGTACTGCTCCCTGTCTGTTCCTCGGTTCATTTTTGTCTTTGACGTTAGTCAGTAACTGACTTAGTGTGGTAATAGGTTTGTGAGCGACGCGGATATTGAATGGATATAGGATGCGCGAGATGTTCTCAGATATGCTCTTTATGTATGGTATAGTTACTGTGATCGTAGGAGTTGCGTTGTCGTTAGTTTCGGTAGTAGTAGTAGGTAGGTGAGTGTTACGTTGGATGAAGTCTCGTTGTATCTGTTTTTTGAAAAACCACGGTCAAGGTACTTGTTTTCGTCGGATAAGCTGTCTGTCGTATTGCATACTAGTTGCGCTCGCCGGTTAAGAGTCCTGATAGTAGTTGCTTTGTGTGATGACGAGATGTAGGATGACTTGTCCAGTAATCTGTCGGTATTGTAGGTTTCCTGTAAACTGTTGTCCGTAGTGAGTTGCCGTCACAGCTTACCAGCCAGTTTAGAAAAGCGTAGTTTACTATTTTCTTCGATCTCTCTAGTAAACTGCACGTCAGTGTTTTGTTCGTTAAGGTGGTGGTGAAATGCGTCGATTTCGTCGTGTCGTACGGCGGTGAAAGTATCGTCAACGCAGCGTAACCAAAGTGGTATCGTCTGTCGGCAAGTCAAAATGGCGCTTTCCTCGATGTACTGCATCATAATTTCTGCTACAACACAGAAACTGGCGACCCCATAGCTGTACGGTGTAACTGTTTGTAGTGTTCATCCTTGTACTGAAAGTAAGTTGACATCAGGCAAAGGTTTAGTAAGTCCATAATGTCCTCTGTCGGTAGCGGTGGAGGGTCGGTAGATTGTAGGATAGCAGTCTCAGTACATTGCAGTGCCAGTTGAAGTGGAATACTTGTGAAAAGCGATTTCACACCGAGTGAAACTAGTTTCTAGTCGTCAGGTATCTGTACAGCCTTAGTGGCGTTAATGAAGTCCTCGGTGGATTGCAGTTTTCGTCTGGATTTGTCAGTGAGCGGTTGTAGTATTGTCGTTAGTTACTTGGACAGTTGGTGTGTCGGAGAACCACAGAAGGAAACAATAGGTCGGATTGGGAAACCAAGTTTGTGTAGTTTCGGCAGTCCATAAAGTTTCGGTGGCTGTGGTACTGAGCACCTTAGACGGTAGTAGCGTTGGGCATCAATAGCGTTTGTCTTCTTGAGTGTCAGTAATGTGCCGTTAAGTTTCTGTTGAAGCGCAGGAGTCGGGTCACGTTTGAGTTCTCCGTAAGTTTGTTTGTCGCTGAATTTCTTTAAAGAATGTTCTCCCCCTCAGTTTAAGGTCTACATCTTCCAATTTACTGAACTCCCGAAAAGAGATGGGTCAGAATACCAACCAGATTTGCTTCGTGTCAGGCAGGCATCACGTAACAGGTATCGCCGCCATAAAGTTATTTGGCATCCATCTTCAGCAGGCGAGAATTCAAGAAGTTTCAACAGACTTTAAATTCCAAGAAAACATGTCTAACATACTAAGGCAAAGGAAAAAATTCCAACAGAGCCCACTTCACTTGAGTAGACAAAGAATTATTTTGGAATGAAGGAAAATTAGGAAGTCACAATGGTGTTGCCCTAAAAAACGTCAACTTTAAAGTCTGGCAGAACACTTGGGTTTTGAAAGGCCGCCAAGAGCAATACGACACGTATGTTGAACATCTTTCCATTTTGCGAATGGCAGATGGTAGGTAAGTTGTTCACTTTGAAATCTTACCAAAACCAGGCAAGGTGGATTGAGAAACAAAACCTGAAATACTCCTTAGCAAATGTGGTGAAAGGAACTTTTCAAAGATTGGCTTGCAAGTCAACCTTTGAAATCATTCCAAGGCCCTTAACAAGCGTTTGGTAGGTCAATTCTAGGACGGGTGGGCATTGAATCGGTCAAAAATAATATCAGTTGCAAGTTGTTTAACGTAGGAGCGTCCCACAAAAATAACAAACCAGTCCGCAAGAAAGACGGTCGTTCTGAAAATGAAAGAAGCTGGCTAATCATGTCATAAAAATTATCCAAGTTACTGGACATGCATGATTCCTCTCTGAAGGATTGGGCAAAAGGAAACCTTATTACACATTATACGGCGAGACAAGAAGCCACTTAATGTTAAGCTACCCTTCCCTCCAGCCCATGGGATTTGATCACAGTGTAACAAGCAGTGAGAGGAAATGGGAAATGAGTGGCCCGAGCGTAGATGTGTCTGACCAGAGAACTGTAGCTAATGAAGGGGTCAGTCTAGGGTACAATCAATAAAACAAAACAAAACAAAGAAGGAGGAAAGAAATAAAAAGAAAACGCATGTGGCCCCTGAGGTGTGTATCCGTATGTACTAGTATGTCACTTGTATGTACTTGTATGTAACTGTGTCACTCAAAGTACTCTGGTGATGTTTTAGTCACGATCACTATTTTCTTGTAACAATGCCCGATTTGACAACCGCTATTTGAGATATGATATGGTATTCATTTTAAGGAGGCTTGTTAAATTAGTGTTGCCATAAAGCTTAAGCAGAAGCTCACAACAAATTGCTATGTGAGCGCTCTGTAAGTCCAGGTTTCAATCACAACTTATGCATGTCATCTACGCAAAACTATTTTGATTCCATCAACCCTAGCAGTTTACAAAGGAGTTTTTAATTCAAATTTCGCACGTATTGCAAACTTTCCAAGTCATGGTTGTCTCGTGGTTATTACTAATTTATCTTTATTCATGTTGCAGTACTTATCCAATAGTCAATGCTCAGATATGTAACCAGTGTGGCCATTCTTTTTGCAGGAAAATTGTGCCCGCAACTTCTATATGTTATGAGATTTTTTTACGCACAAAATATCTAATGTTAATTACATTAATGTTTTGTTCAATTACTTTTTTTATGCGTTATAATACGTCTTAAAATAAAACAGATCAATTTCATCCGGGATACATGGATTTTGCATGTCCTACATCGATGTTGTGCAGTATACATCGCTTTCCTGACTCATTCATGCGTGACCTTATGTAACTAAAAGATGTTCGGTAAGACTAAAAGATAAGGAAGCGGAAATAGCTTGTGAAACAGGAAGTGATCACTATGATCAACATGGCGGACCGGGAGAGCAGTTCGGAAAACAACACTAGATTTTGTTCGCACCATCTTACATGCCGTAACTAATCTGCAAACGTAATCGGGAAACCCAGATAAGGCAGAGAATAGTTTTAGTGTGGAGTTCTCCTCCCCTGACGAAGAAATCAACGCAAGGTTTCAGATCCCGAGACAATTTTTAGACCGCCGGGGAATTCCTAATCGTAGTGCTACCTCAACGAGGGGTGTACCCTCAACGGCCTACAATCCGAGACAGAACTACAGCCCAGTACAAAGGAATGTTGGCAGGTGCCCCAGGAGAGGAAGAAGAAATAATTATACCGCAAATGCAAGCGGTGAAAACCCAACCGAGTACGTTTACAAAGATATCTGTTTACTGCCTGACCCTGAATGGATCTAAGTACCACGAAGGGAAAGTTAGTCCAGTGAGGACTGTACATCGACGCTTTTCGGCTGGATAAAAACTGGAGTGAGGCACGTCTATACTCTGAACTGGCCTTGCTGTTTAAGGAAGCTCTTGAACGCCCGGATTAAATGACATTGGGAAAGTGATGGACCTCTATATTCATAAGGTTAAGTTTGAAGACTTGCATAGTTACGTACATCCGTTTGTACCGGTGCCCAAAAACATCTCTTCATGTAGCTTAGGCTCTCCATCTGTTCTTGATGTCACGGGAGGGGTGTTTGAAACTACAGGACAAAAGGAACTATAATAATAGCGAGGAATTGTAAAAAAACCAGGTCTTGCCAATTGTGCACGAGAACGCAGCCAGATTATTTAACAGGACGACTAACAATAAACCAAGCGCTATGTTCTGCTTCTTAGCTCTCCGGTGTTATGAAAGAAAATATGAGAATGGGCAACCAGTATTGGTCAAACTATTTCACTCTGGTTGAGTACACTTAGAAGTTTCTTTTGTTTGATTAGGTTTGAATTTGTAAAGAGCGCTGGCTCCAACATTGTGCTTCTGCAAGTACCAAGAGGCCAAGAGAGGAGTGCTCGTGTTCTAAAACACATATCAGGCCAGGGACCTTTGTGTATACGAGCTTGGGAAGTTTTGAGTTGTGAAGAGGTGATTAATGCTTAATAATTTTCAGCAACTGAAATGTTCACTTTTTGTCCTTTCACGTAGAGACACAGTATATAGTACATACCACCTTTCTTTTTCGGGATTTGGCATGATATTTATATTACAGCTGCACTTCTTCTGAGAATGGAAATATTTTATGAGCCTCTCTTTCCTGTTGCCTGATCTTCCTTGCTATCTGACAAACAATTAACTATGCACTCTCTAGAATAGATGACAAGTGATAACAGGCTACCCTCTCTAAAAAAGCTTCCTCTCATTTGTCATTCTTAATGCTCCTTCTTGGCCAGCTTAAAGTTCTAACATCCATTTGATGTTTTATTATGTCTTTTGCCATTTTTCTAGCATCTAAATGATTCTCCTTAATATATTTATATATATTTTTTCACAGTGAATATGATGACAGTCTGCTTGCTAATGATAAGGACATCAGGGATTACTCAGAAGGACATACATTGCTCCCTGTCTCGAATCCCATTGCTGAACCAGGTCCCAGTGGCACAGATACAGACGTTGCTCCACCATCATGAAGCTTACAGCAAACTGATGTACATTTGCGTATGGTAGAGAAGGTGCCATCCTCTGACATTTTCCAACCTTCTAGGAATGTAGATACCACAAATACCATGAGTTGGTCTGAAATATCAAATTAATTGGCCAAAAAGAGGGAACTGGATGTCCTGGTAGAAATTTTTCCCAACTTAAAGCAGGAGGGAGTTGAAAAGGCTCTGAAAAGTGCTGGTTCATATTTGGGGAAAGCTATCAATATACTTCTTGAGGACAATCATACAGGTGTGTTTGTGCATTTCCCCAGGTTAAATTACGTAGGGGTACATCAGATGAATAATATTCATTAATATTTCTGATAATTTGGTTTTCTTCTTGTGCTTTTCTCCACCCAAAATCTCTCAAAGCATTTACTGAGGAGGTTGTGAAGCCATTTGGCTGTGATCTTGATGTGGAGGTGTACAGGAACACAGATATTTTGAAGCAGATGCTTTGAAAATATAAAAAAACCCAGTTTTGACATAACTAAATGCTTGTGCATTAACACATGTACAATCATCTTAACATTCGCTTACTCAATGTTTCCCTGTGAACAGCTTTTTCAATGCAAGAAAGAATCTTTGGCAGATTTCACCAATTCATCAAGTCCCATGAATATCTCAGAACTGCTGACATCTGCTGGATACCCTCATTTAAGCATAACAGAGGAGAGGCAACACCCAGCATATGAGTGCATTTTTCTGTATGAAGTCATCACAAAGCGCATCCCTTCCTTAAATGACTTGAGGAAGGGACTGGCTTCTGTTAAAGTGTCACAACACTCCTAGATTTACTTGAGAGACTTCCTGATGTTCAGAAACTTGTGTTTCCTCCACACACTGGCAAAATTGATGTCATGATGCTCAAGTTACATCTAGAGTGGAGAGAAACTGCTAATCCTATAAACCAAACCACTGAACAGTTTTTCAACACATAGATAAATTACACAAGAAAGGTGATCCTAACATTATGAGTATCTTTATATAATAGCTAAATAACCTTTACACTTAAATAAAGTTTATGATGATGATGATGACAATGACAATGGTGGTTGTCTTACTCACCGGTAACTGTTTTGGGATTCTCAGTCAGTGTAAATGTTGATGGTTTTCTACAATGGTAATGTAGTGATTTAGGGAAGATCGTCATAGGAAAGAAATTTTTGATTCACATGGGAACAAGGACATGTAAACAAAATTGATGTTGTATTTTCATGAGAAACAAATGCCCCAAAAATTGGAAGGTAGTTAAATTATGAATACAGTGAACTTTCCTAGTTAGCTGGGTCACAAACATCAAGAAAATTGTAAATGTATTATTTGTCTAAAAAACAGATGGTGCTAATAACAATGAAACATTAGAAGACCTGGCACTATTTTGGACTGGATGTCCATAACTATCCCCAGACATAACTACAAAATTACTTGTGAAGTACCTTGAACATCATCAGACCAAAGTCTTAGCAGAATCTAGCACTTGCACAATAGAACTTTCCATCCCAGTAGTCCACAAGAAGTACAGTGTATTCAAGGATTACATCAATAAGAGCATTGCTTATGACAAAATTGGTTTTGGAAAGATATCAACATAAAAGGATGATCCTTCCTTATCTTGTATTCAGTTAACAGTTGTGTTATTCTTGGGCTCACAAACCATTTTTTATCAATAACTTTTTATAGGACATAAAAAAACACATAAAATCAGAATCACTAAGAGATTAAATAAGAGAGGGCGTAACTTGAGGTTTTAAGGAAAAAAATCGTTGTAATTGGTACAATTATCTATGACTTTACAAATGTTTATGGGAATGTTTCGCTCCTTTATTGATAGAAATTTCTATTGCTCAAATTAATACAAAATTTCTGTGAATTTCCTAAGCAGTGGGCAAAGAAAACATGCCAGTGGACCCTTCATATAAAACAATAAAATTTTCAAATCCATGTAGGTTACTAAGGAAATGTTCCATGTTCAAAGTTCCAGTTTCAGGTTACTCAGCAAATTAACTGTTTTGTTTACAGCATGATAAACTCAACAATAACAAAAAGAGCTTACAAGAGTTCATTGACAAGGGTATAAACTTCTCTGCAATAGCCATTATGCATGCAATGTAGCCACAGTTTTACCTCATTTGTTATTGTTTTGAGTGATTGCAAATCAAGGCTAGATCTCAGGTTTAAAATGTTTATTCTATGAAGCATCTAGTCCATTATTCCGCTGTAACACCATGTATTTTTTTTCCCAGCCATTTAAAGTTTTACACCCCTTTGTATCAATAAGGCTGTTAGATTTGAGATTACTTTATTTATTTATTTATTTATTTGTAACAACTTCATTTGCCTAAATAATAAGATAATAATAATAATAATAATATAAAAAAGCAGAGAAAATAATTAAAACACATTTACAGACACATAAAAAATAAAAATAACATCGAAATGCAAAATGGCAAAAAGGGTCAAGCCAGAGAGGAACTAAATCCTCATTAACGGCAGCCCCCAGAATAGAAGCAATATGCAATAAAAATAGAACTAAAATATAAAGGTAAAAATTATTTGAAAAAAAACTTAATTGATAAATAGATATTGGTGCAATATTATTGATATTATTTAAAAATGTGTCCTTTAAATTTTTTTTTTAAACTTACTAGCAGAGCTAGAGCTGCTAGAGCTAATTATGTCATTTGGCAAGTCATTCCAGATTTTTATATATTTATACCAAAAAGAGTTCTTGAGGATATTTGTTCGAGCATAAGGCGTCCAGATTTTGACATTGTTGGTAGATCTCGCCCGACTATTGGAGAAAGTTAAGTAATTACATAAGTCTACTCTTGAAAAACCATAATGAATTTGAATAATTGCACTAAACTAAGAAATTCACGATGCGAGTTGAGTGTTGGCCAGCCAAGATACTCCAAACGTTCACCATAGTCGATAGAACTACCAAGGATCCACCTGGAAGCATTCCTTTCCACTCTTTCAAGCTTATCAGACAGATATTGTTGATGTGGATTCCACACAGGACAAGCATACTCAACAATTGGCCGAACCATAGACTTATATCCAATTGTTATTGCTGGACGATTAGATATCACAAGGTCTAGGATAGCATCTTGACGTGTAGGCTCATCAATCAATTGAGAGAAACCATAGAAGTTCACAATATTATCGCAGAAATAGTCTGATAAGACATTTGGTTGAGAAGGACATATCAAGTCCCAATCAATATCTGGAAAATTAAAGTCACCCAAAAGAACAATATTAGTGCGATCATATACCACTGCAACTTTTTCCAGTGACCTTTTAAGGCCCTCTTGGTAGTTCATGTCACTTGAAGGAGGGCGGTAGAATACTCCTAGGAAGTACGATCCTGAATTTTTCAGTGGAATCTCGGCCCATAAGAGTTCGCAAATATCTTCTTCCAAATCTGGACGTCTTGAGCATGATATATTAGATTTAACAGCTAAAAATACACCGCCACCTCTACTTCCACGGTCATTTCAAAGAACACTATATGAAGATGGAAAGATTTTCGTTGTCGGCTATTCCCTCATGAAGCCATGTTTCGGTTATCGCAATTATGTCGGGGTTCATCAGCACTACATGACTCTGAAGCTCCAGTCTTTTATTGACGATACTTCTTGCGTTAAAGGAAGATATGTTACGAGTATTCTTTCCCAATGGTGGACCAGGGTTTCTATGGATGTCATTGGAAGCCAGAAGAAGAAGAATGCACAAATAGAGATATTTGTTTGAGGCACATCTTCTAACATGGCGCCCTCGGCGACGACGAGAAGAGCAACGACTAACCTGCACATGGCTCCAAAAACTGCCTGCAATTCGAATATCAATTACTTTAAGGTTTTCTAGGAGGAAACTATCGCATAACGAAAAATTTGAGGTGGTTTTGAGACTAGTTTGGTGAGTATAGCCGCAGATAAGACCAAAAACCTGAAGAGCGAAGATGAACATACCTATCATGATTGAACGCACACACTAAAAAAAAAAAAAAAAGAAAAAAAAAATTACAACTGATTATTGTTATTGTTTCCCATTTACACTGTCATTAGTAATTTAATTCTTGGCATACTCACATGTATAGTAGTAACCAATTTATACTAACTGTATTTAGAGTTCATTCCAAGTACATGAAATTAATACAGTAAATCATGACCCGCAGTTTAAACAGAAAGAAGCAATCTGTAATACCACTTGGTTGGCTATGATTCCGTCATGATTACCAGTTTGGAAGACTGCATCTCTAGCTTCTTGCAGTGACAATTCTTGGTTATGTGTCAGAGTAGTAATTATGTCAGGTACCGAAATTACATAGTCTCTCTGCATGTCTGGTACAGGCCCTTCTTCATCAACCCCACAATGGTCAAAATTAACAGCCTTGTTGGCAGTCACATCTGTCACAGCCTGATGTAATATATTTCAGAAATGTAGCATTCCTTGTATCCAGAGCTGATTGGGAGAGAAATTGCATTGTGTGCTTACATTATTAATCAGTGGAATGTAGACTAGATGAATACAAAACAGATGCACCTCATCTGTTGGATCTAAAATTCCACTGTGCTCAAGAAAGAGAAAATTGTTCAAAAAGCAGCTCACGATGACCCGGTTGACATCACACCAGAGATGCTCTCTTCTTTGGTTATGAACAGATTTTCCAGTGAGGTGGCTGCCTCTACTTAAACCTCTTTCTTGCAGCATGAAGCAAGCAACTTCTATGTTTTCCATTCCAAGATCACTGCGAACTCTTGATGGTAAATTGTAGTGCTCAACAGCTGACTGGAAATGCTGCAATGCAGTTGAAGCCCTGTTGTTGGTTGATGCCTGAAGGAATACTATCATTCTTAAAAAACCATCTAAACCACCATAAATGACAATTCTGTATGGCTGGATTAGTTTGTGGTTGCCATCAATGTCCTTGTTGGACACCATGGAGACATTGTTCCACTGCACTACCACACATAAGTTTTGTTAAAATATGGTATGTAAAAAAAGTTAAATCTGCCTATCTGAGTAATAGTGGTAATGATAATAATAACAATGACAACAACAACAATAATAATCATAACAACAAGAAGAGGCATTTGTTGACCACCCATGAGTAACAAGCATGATAGTCAGGAATTTTGAGCATAATATCAGAAGAAGGTAGGGGCTGGGAAACTGGGCTAGGGTGATTAGTGAGGGGGCTAAATAGAATTGGGGGAGGTATCTCAAATCATGAGTCGAATTGGCATTAATGCTCATGCGTCAAAATTACTGCCTGACCTCCTTTGTATCACAGAGTTAAAACCAGTGTTGCCCATGTGTTGGGGGAACTCCCATATATAGAGGACAGGAGGGATTGTCAGAAATTTTGAAAATAACCCTTGAAAGGTATCAAGTTCCTGTTTTGTGGGCATAGCTTGAAATGTTTTTCACCCCTGAGAGGAAACAATTCTGAAACAACACAGTTAACCCTAGCTATCCTTTTTTTTGGCTTAAGACCCTACCTAAGAGGTAGTGTAAAAGCTCCTGCTGTGGACCTTTTGGAGCTGAACATCATAAGAGGTACCAAACCTGCATTTTAAACCCTGAAAAGTATGACAAGCATCCCTGTCCTTTTTACACAGGAGTCCCCCCCCCAAGGAAGTGTTGTCCTTAGAGAAATAAAAAACTGCCTGACTATTTTGAGAAGAATGTTGGACGAGTCTTATGGTGTAGGGGGGCCTGTTTAAAAAAGGAGACCCATTTAAACAGAGACTCGTTAGAGAGAAGATGGTGTGTTAACTGAATAGCGCTTCAACAAATTATTTTCCTTTACTATAATGCATTGGGGCATGGCACACCGTACACTCTACGAATTACCTGCTGTGCTGCTCTTAAAGTGCGAAGAACCAGATCCACTCTTCGAATAGATTCTTGAATACAATGGCACTGGATTCGTAAGCCCCTTTGCCTCGAGCCACCTTCAACCAGGCATTGACCAGCGCTTGGTGTCACTTTAAGAATTTCCCTCACATATTCCACAAGGTCATCTTTGGAGACATCACTGAAATTCTCTCCCACACCAACTGGCAACCCAAATTCATCTCTTCGACAGCGCAAAGTTCAGAGAGAATTCTTGCGATATCAGCCCAACGAAAACCGGCGTCACATGTGCAGAGTTTGCAGCTGTTGCTGTAAGATCTGTAGCCTTAGTCAGCCAACTAAACCTTTCCTAGCCACAGTCGAAAGACGATCGCTTAGGGACGATGATGCAGTAAACGTAGAACGTTCCGAGTCCTCGACAATTCTGTTAAAGTCCCTTGAAAGTTCGTTCATAAGAAAAATAAGTTCGTTCAGATCAGAGATCACCTCAAATTCATCTGGGAAGGCTTCTTCTATTCTTAGCGTCAAAGTGACCAGAGTTCTTTTCTTTTTCTCTTAAAGGGCGACTAAAAACTTCAGCTGAGTTGTAGGACGCAATGTTCCTTTGCACTTCTGCACTTTTCAGTACCCCACCTAAAGACGTAAAAAATCATTCGATGTTGGGCAGCCAAATCCGTGCACCTTGCATAGTGCTTCTCAAATTTCACTAATCATCTGCCTTTATTTACGCCATTTTGAAAGTGTTAGTTCCCAGGGCCTCTGACTTCCGCTTATTTCTATTTCCGCTTCCTCATCTTTTAGTGTTATCGTACATCTTTTAGTTACATAAAGTCACGTGTGAATGAGTCAGGAAAGCGATGTATGCTGCACAACATCGATGCATGACATCCAAAATCGAAGTATCCCGGATGAAATTGATTTATTTTAAGACTTGTATTGTAACGCATAACAATAACGCAATTGAACAAAACATTGATGTATGCGATATTTTGTCTGTAAAAAAACCTCATAACATGTGGAAGTAGCCAAGAATGAGTTCCTGTCAAAACTTATATGGGGCCAAAATGATGGAAGACACAACAGCTAAGTGCTTGGGCTGTGAGAGGGATGTGCCCTCGGGGACATTAGGCAGCACATTGTCCAAGACTGCCAGGAATTTTGTGCAGCACTGTAGCTCATGCCCAGCAAAATTCTAATGGGAGGATGTGATGCAACACAATCAGTCTACCCACAAGAGGAGAGATATAGTGTTCCTATGGCCAACGATTGCTTCACAAAGAGGAACAAAAACATTTGAAAGCGGATTGCTATCATATCGATATTTCCTGCCCCCTGGGGTGTACTTCAACTTTGAAAAAGTAAAAATAGTATTAACCCCAGCTCAACTTATACCCAATAGAGTTAATATTAAAAATGAGAAAAAGCTGTTATTAATTATAGAGGTAACAAAAATCTGGTCAAGCGATCAACCTTGAGCTTCCCTAAAAGATTTTGAACTCTACAGAAGATACTAAGGCTCTGACGGCTATGGACTTGTTCATTACAATGCTTTGAATAACAAATACACCATTCAAAATCATAATCTACACATGGTGTCTCTGGAAAAACCCTTGGATTGAACCCTGGATTATAGGGCATATTGAAAAGTGGATGCGGATTATCTTTATCTCAATGTCTTTAGCAATTAGAAATTCACGAACCTAAAGCGCTGTTTCACAAACATGATGGGATGCAATGTACCTCAAAAGCATAGCACCGAAAGGACCCTATGAGTCGAATAGAATGTGGCTACTGGTACGTTTGTAAGAAATCAGATGACACGTCTTCCTCAAAATACATTATGTACCCTCGACGAAATATTACGAACCCTCAAACATTCAATATATTCCAGTGTGTCAACAATTTTTCTACCTAATCAAAGTGTATTTTCGCAAAGAAAGCAGTGAACACGCTGCCATTAAAACAGGTGAATCCACTAATGGAATCATCGTGACGTTACCCATCAATGGTGGCAATTTCGAATTTCCCAACAATAAAAAACTAAAACCGTCAAGTGGTTGATGAAATGCACCACAAGAAGAAAGAACGAACAATAATGTCCACGAATTTTCAAGTGGATGCCCAAGGGGATTTTCTAGATTTGAATTGAAGTTATGTGGAATTGCAATTGAGTATGACTGATAATAATAACTTGGAGAGGACTGCTGATATTAGTGACACCATGATTGCACCCGTGAACAATTTTGCTTATTCTATCTTCATATAAATCAACACGAGATTCAATAAAACTCTGATCAGCGAACAAACGACAGAAACCTACCATTAGAGAGCGTATACGGAAACTCTATTGAACAACAACAGACACGACAGTGAAACGATCTTGGTCCTCCAAGGTTGGTGTAATCACATCAATGTAGTAAGCCAATACACAGCTGCGAATATCAGAAATCATGATGCACAGAACACAACCCTATATTAGCAACACAAAGATGCTTTGAAAGCACAGAAAGATGCCCTAGTTCCTTTTGTAGCACACAGAAGGCATAGGTTCAGGATGAAACCTCAATTGGAACCCTTTATGATAATGTAATGAATATGAGGAGGTATAATAAATATAAGGAGGTGTAATGAAGCATTTACACTGTCATCATCTTTTCTTTTATTTGCCTTATTTTAACAATACAAAAATTTCTTTACAGCGTTAATGGCTAGAAGGCGAGGAGACCCAGCAAGCCACCGGGCCTGTGGAAGAGTCACCTCACTTACAATAACAAATCAAGTTAAGAGAAAGTCCTGTAAATGTGTGGCTAGGCCAATTCAATGATTATTTATTTAAAAACTCTTGCATTTTTGTCTTAAAGCTAAGAAGGTTTGAGGAATGAGTGACTAAAACAGGAAGAGAGTTCCAAATTTTAGGACCCTGATGGAGAATTGTAAATTGCTTGAGATTTGTACGGCACAAATGCGTTTGATAATTACTGGCTGTTCTGGTACCATAGTTGTGGATGTGGCTATTTGTTTCTTATCCAAGTGTGTACCGAAAATTATACTTTCGTAAAACAAAGTGTAAGGTTAATTGTACAAGTAATTTAACATACTTAGAAAGAAGCTCTGATGTATAATGCTTTAATCGGTTAAGGATATACTTGACCTACTTGTCCTTATCCTTGTGCGTAATGAAAATTATACTTGACCATGCACAACGTGAAAAGTTTGTTGTACAAGTAATTTCACAAATTTAGAAAGAAGCTCTCAACAGGATATATCTGGGTTTTAAAAAACCCATAGACATTACTTAGGGCAGTATATGTTTCAAACTGGCCATAATTTCCACCATTGACTGTTTTTTTTCTTCTGTGGATGTGTTTCTTACACATACAAGTACTAAAAAATGATGAAAAAACTCATGCAAATTATGGCTGTTTGGTCACTTGGTTCATTCTGTCCACTTCATTCATGTGTTATTCATGCTGGTAGGAATATTTGAGCCAAATAGGTCATTTGTTACCTCTGGATTACTGGATGCTAATTTGCATCACTTGACTCCTTTTTATCAGTTTGATCATTTGTACCAAATGGCTCCATTATGTTGACTGGGTTATTTGTTCCAGTTTATCTCTTCAGCAGAAGTATCATTTTCGTATGCCAGAGTTTAAGACATTTTAGGAGTGGGTATAATTAAACTATTTGAGAATATCAACGATTGCATGGCTATTGATAGTTAGGTATTTTATATGGATGCCTCATTTGTTTGACCATCTGTACCAGAAGACAAAAAGTGAGTAAATACCTTGCGATAACCAAAAAAATGTATTATTGTCCTTAATACCTGGACATCTAACAATAAAAGAACCAATGACAATGAATTTAATACAAATTGTTGAACTATGACCAAAGCATACAGTATGATAAAGTAATTTTAGGACAAGAAAGTCAGATGTATTGATACTTCTTTCATTAAACAACCTCAATGGACACCTTAAATTTAAGGACCTGTGATCGGAAATTGTGCAATTACACATTGGACGATAGAAGGGGTATGCTACACTAGTTGACTAATCAGACCTACTAAGTGAAAACTTAAGATTTCAACCCTTTGAGCCCAACAGTCTACACCTACTAATAATGGTCTGATATTTTGAAGAGAAAGTAAAAGCTGATCACTGATTAGGCTAAAATTGTGCTGAAACAGTCAATCACCGTGGAGCAAGGTCTTATATGTATATGCAAATTTTACAACCAAAAATAGATGTAAGTTACTTGCCGGCTGGGAGGTCCTTACAGTGAAAAACTGCCCGAGGTCGTAGGCCGAGGGCAGTATTTTCAAGACCGAGGTCACAGTTTTTCACCATACCGACCGACCCTTAGCAGGTAAATAACATTTTTTTTCAAACTTGACGAAATTCTTTCCGAAAGAACCCGAATGATTTAGGGCTGAAAAATACGGCAAGATCTTCTATAAACTGAACAGTTTTTAAGCGAGTAAATGGTAGTTAAAAAAGAGGTAATGCAAATTAAAGAGAGATGCCTCACCGAAACATTTTCATTTGCGTAACGATAAAGGTTATTTAAAAGGCTTCCAAACAAACTTTGAAACATTATTTTTACAAGTATCTGTCACAATCTGACAATTGTCAATTAAAGAGCGCGTAAGAAAAAAAAAGCGCAAGAAGATTTGAAAAACAACGGCACTAGTTTGGTAAGAACTGTCGCGACAAAACAGGCAATGATCTAACGGAAAGTGTTATTCACTCTCATCGACGATTCATTCATGTACGAAGATTTACCTCTGTTCATTAAGTTGACGGCGAGGAAAGTAATTGTGAGAATTTAAATTTTTTTTATTTTGAAGTTGTGAGAGTTTGCTCGTTTGTTTGCTGCAGTGGCGCGTGTAAATCTGGTCTTCTCTCCACAAAAACCAAATTCGAATGGCACACTCCAACGAGACACAAGGGGATTTAACGCGACCTTTTCTCAATAAATTCCTTAAGTTTCTGTTGTGCAATTTACGGTACAAATGTCCAAATTGAACGGACTTGAAAAGACTCATTGAGAGCGTATATTTCTTTTAGAACTGAAAATAAAACCTCGCTCGCTCTTTCACTACGAACAAATTGTTTGAGAGAATTCAGATATTAAACGAATGAAAGTTCCATCGTTCAGTTTAACTGTAACCAAATACCTCACGTTTTAACTTTATAGGTGCTTTTTGTGAACGATTAAAATTAATTGCAGACGGTTTTAGGCTGCTTGTCAACCAACGTAATGACAATATTGCTTACACAAATTCATTCTGAAACCAATGTTTTTCTGTCAACCAAAGTGATTTGAGAGAGAAAAAGAGAGGATTCATAATTTATTTATCGGCTTGAAAAAACGAGATATATTTATGGAAAATGGGAACGAAAGTTGGGATGTACTCGGCGACTCAAGAAAGCGTTACCGTGGCCCGTGGGCAGAGATAGGAAAATACTGACCGGGTAAAGAACCAATCAGATTGCAGGATTCGTTACCGTGCCCTCTAAAAAAAAATAAAAAGAATATCTTTAAAGACGCAATTTAACATTAAGTGGAACAGCTAAAATGACTCTCTCATTACCATTTGGTGTTTTGAGATCAATGTTTTCCATGTATGGCACACAGCATCTAGTTCCCTTTGTTCACTATTACAAAGTTTTTTTCACTTAGTTATTTTAATTTACTAACTTTTATAGATAGCTGCCTAAATTGCGTATGAAGCAAATTTTTGTTTCCTTTTTCTAGCTGGCAGTTGTATTTAAGGTTTTAAATTGTTGGTCTCAGTTCCTAGCGAGTCAGTGACCATTTTTTCATTCATGATGTGTAATACTTTAGACACTGTCGTGCATTTCAAATTTAAATACAAATTACTTAGAACACTGAGAAATAGTACAAATGAAGAGCCAGGAGTTGCTTAAATTGAACAAACAAGGTAGAAAAGAACTATACTTAGAAAAAAGAGTAATCATGTTAATGATAATGATGATAAGGTATATATTAAGGCAAATGTTCAGAGTGTTGCTCAGAGAAATTGAAGATTTTAAGTTATAATAAGTCTAGAAGGATTTTGTCATAAAGATTAGTTCCTGGATAGACAAGTGTTTGTTTTCCAGAGTTATTGCATACCTAAGGTTTAAATACATTTTGTTGGGAAGCATACCTGGTGTTGCATCCATGAATACTACTTGCATATTGAAAATGATTCTGGAAGGGATACACTTAAGCAGGCCTTTGTGCTGTAGATGCAAAACCTTTAAATCACTGAGTTGATACACTGTAAGAATGTCTAGAATTTTAAGCAGATGGAGGGCGCTATCTGTTTGGTTATGAAATGTATCCATAACAGTGAGGAAAACCTCCCTCATGTTTGTTCTAAAGTGACCAATAAATAATTGCTAAGATACACATGTAAAATGCATCTTCTGCTCTTCTTTGTTCACCAGCGTTTAGTTGGCAGTTTGGCTGTCACCTAGGATTGAGTTGTAATGATAATTATTTACTCCTTGTATTTACTCCTTGGTGCCAACTGTGAGGAAGATCATCCACTCATGAAATCTTACTCAAATCACCTAAGAGAAGAAATGGAACAGATTGAAGGGACATTGATCACTGAGAGAGGAGAGCAGGTTGTGTTAAAATTTCAACTGACACCATCTGACATGAAATGGATCTCATCCCACTCACGAGAACTAAACAATTGTGAAACCTATTCTTCACCTTTTGCCAATGTTTGCCAACAGCAACTCCAGTAAACAACAGTAGTCGCGCAGACCACAAAATATTTTGTGATCTTGTTGGTGACAATTTTCTTTATCAGGCTGTCCCTGGCCCCACGCATATTGCCGGTAACAAGCTTGACTTTGTGCTGTGTAATTGGCCTGAGACTATCGAGAACGTTCTAACCTTTCATCCACGGGAAGGTATATTTCCCACAGACCACTATGTTATTGAGTTTGATATCCGACTAAAGTTTCAAAGAGCAAAACGGGTGAAGAGACAAGTCTTCGACTTTAAGAATGGAAATTTTGATGATCTACGGGAATCACTTACTCGAGTTCCCTTTGAGTTAGCCTCTTCGGATGATATAAATGAACACTGGTCAAACTGGAAAGATCTGTTTCTGACTGCCGTAATAGATCATATACCAGTAAAAACAATTCACGACACTAACTCTCCCCCTTGGATAGACGGGGAAGTCCGGCATCTGATTCCAAAGAAGTATGCAGCTTTGGAAAAATTTCGTCAGAACAAGACCCCTGAACGCAAACAAAAATTGCGAATATTGAGTCAAAATATTAAGTACGTAATTCGCGCTAAACATCGGCAGTACTTAGCGCAAATTGAGCAGTCGTTTAAGGACAACCCAAAGAAATTTTGGAGCTACCACAAAGCGATTTTAGGTGGTCGATCTGGCACAAGTCCGGTGATATCATACAACGGTGTGTCTGCAAAGGAACCAGCACAAAAAGCAGACCTCTTCAATAAATATTTCTGTTCTGTTTTCCTTCCAGCAGCCTCCGATGTAAACAGACCTCAAATTAACATACCATTGAGAACTGATATGGAAATCTCGCAAATAGAAATATCAATAGAAGAGGTGAGAGAGCACTTGAATGGGCTAGACATCTCAAAAGCCAGTGGTCCTGATGGCATCCCAGCGAGACTGCTCAAACAATGTAGCGAACAAATAGCACCAAGTCTCTGCGCTATTTTTAACAATTCACTTAAAAGCGGCAAAATTCCAAGTGAGTGGAAATCGGCGGACATAACACCAATTCATAAGAAAGACTCAAAAGAACCCGCCGACAACTATAGACCTATTTCGCTCATTCCCATTGTAAGCAAAATACAGGAACGCTGCGTGTTTAATCACCTTTATGAGCACGTCATACATCTGATCACCCTCTTACAGCACGGGTTTCTACGAAATCGATCGTGTGTCACACAATTACTGTCTGTTCTACACACCATAGGACAGTACCTGGATAAAAATGTACAGACGGACGTGATCTATTTGGATCTCGCTAAAGCGTTTGACACGGTGGACCATTGTATTCTCCTGTCTAAGTTAAGGGCCTACGGCATTTCGGGGCAGCTACTAGCCTGGTTTTCAGACTATCTAAACGAGCGCGTCCAACGTGTAGTTGTTGATGGTGCTGTCTCGCAATGGGCACCAGTCACTTCCGGTGTCCCTCAGGGGAGTCTGTTGGGACCCCTGCTCTTCACGATCTTTATAAACGACCTGCCTGATGCAACTGTAGGAGGTGCGATGGCCGCATTATATGCCGACGACACCAAGGCATATCGCAGCATCAAAGGTGTTGAGGACTGCATATCTCTGCAGAACACCTTAACCAACATGAATGCATGGGCCATGCGAAATAACATTCGCTATAACTCATCAAAATGCAAAGTCCTCTCAGTAACTCGCAAAAAAAGCCCATTTATCTACAGCTACAAACTCAATCATGTACAACTTGAGCGGGTCACAAGTGAGAATGATGTCGGAGTTATTGTGACTAGCTCCCTTTCATGGGATTCACATGTCCATACCATCATCGCAAAAGCCAACAAGCTACTTGGGCTTCTAAAGCGTACATGCCCTTTTCTGACCGATGTTTCAGTCAGGCGGTCCCTCTATCTGGCTTTGGTAAAGTCACAACTGTGCTATGCAACGCAAGTGTGGTCCCCAGCCCAATTCAGTCTCAAAAGTCAGCTTGAAAGAGTACAAAGACGTGCAACAAGATGGATTCTAGGCACCAGAATTGGGGAAATGAGCTACCGAGACCGGCTTATCAAGCTGAATTTGCTCCCTCTCGCCTACGACCGCGAACTTAAGGACCTTGTGTTTCTTTACAAATGTCTGAATAACTACACGGATCTAAACATCCTTAACTTTGTTTCTTTTATTTCCCACGGCCGCACCAGACGAAGTAATTCCTTCAATCTCACAACACCTTCGTGTAAAACAAGTACCTTTCAGGCCTCCTATTTCAACCGAACTGTTAAACTCTGGAACTCCGTATGTACCTTATCACCCCCGTCCAAGTTTTCTAACCCGACCGCCTTTCAAACTTTTGCAGCTAAACACATGTTCTCTCTTGTCCGTTCAGTTTTTGATGTTAATAGTCCGTGCACGTGGTCAATTGTTAGGTCGTGTCCCTGTCATTGATTTTTAGTTATCTAGCACTTTTTCACCGTACATTTTTACATTTTTCATTTTTTTTTTTTTCTTTTTTTTTTTTTTTTTTATTAAGGGTAGTGCCCCGCATGGGACTCCATGTCCCGTTCGCACTGACCCTTTTGGCGTATGTCTATCCATTTTTTGTCTCTTTCCTTGTATATGCATTCATTTTGAGCTTGTAGACGTACCCAATAAAGTTGTTAAATAAATAAATAAATAATGTTAATCGAACAAACAACAGGTGGTTTTATTGGTGGTCATAAAGCAACATGGTAACCATGGCAGCACACCGAGAGACTGGCCATTGCAGAGAAAGTGGAAAAGTCGAAGAAAATGAAAAAAAGACTTAAAGATCCCATGAGCAAACAAAACAAGTTGAGACAAGAATTTGTTCCTC